TTAGGCGGATTCGTCTTTCTAGCAGTGGCCGCCCCAGCAGCCACCGCCTTGTCGCGCGCCTTGCCCTTACCTTTGGCAGGCGCAGAAGACGAAGCACCTCTCTCTCCATCCATCAAGAAATGGAAGAGAAACTAGAAGAAGGAGAAGTTAAAGAAATAGAAGTACCTGGTACTCTTTTGGAAAACAAAGAACAAGAACGAAAATCAGACAACGAAACTCAATTGCCGGAGAAGGCGACAGAGAAGGACGAAGATGGCAAAGGCTAAGACGAAGAAATCGGTGTACGCAAGAAGCCAAGGAAGAAAAAGAACAAAAATGAGTAAAGTGAAAGGGGAAAGGGCGCGAGAGAGAGAAAAGGGTTTTCCAAGAATTCAAAACGCTCATAACATGTGTCGATCTGGATGCACACCTGACGACACATTAATTGAAGACCATTATGACGAATGCGAACCATCATTGCATAACCGTCACCCCCATTAACGCGCCGCCTGCATGTTTTCGAGAAATGAAAGTTATGACACATGGCATCTTGACAGGCAGGCGTACGCGAAGGGTCACGACCACTTAACGAGCTCGGTCTTAACTCCTCGACCTACGGTCTTCAGAGCTCAGGGGGCTAGTGTACTATCCGTATCGCCATGTCAAGCTGGAGCTTGGTATCACAGCGCAGGACGACCTCGGACATGCACTGGGAGATCTCGGTCTAGGCGAGATCCGCTATCTAATCAGATCATAATTGATCTCAGGCCCAAGGCCCAACGAAACCCTAATTCACACTAAGGTACGTGCATTACTTATACGAGACTCATACTCATACAAACCCTAACTTTAGCATCGGAGCATCTTTTGCAGGTACCACCTCCATCTTGGAGCATCAAGCGTACCAGCGAAGGAGGCTCACCGACCTTACCCAGCGGATCGACTCTACCCCAGATCCCCGGTAAGAACAATAAATATTATTATAATAAAAGCAATCATGTAGATATTTTAAAGTTAATTGTTTAATTTAAATTTCAAGCATTTAAATATTTACCAATAAAAGGGAATTTAATATTTATATTATTATTGTTTATAATGCTAATTTCGTCATAGGGTACCGATTAAGGGCGTTGTAGGGGTGCTTAATACCTTCCCTACACGTAATCGACCCCCGAACCCAATTCTGGTTATCAAGACCATTATTGGACCTTTATAAACCATTTCTTTTTCCAATGTTTTGAGTAAAACATTGGTGGCGACTCCATGAACATATTTTCAAAAACTGTTAATTAAGGATTAGTCTGGCATCCAGACATTCCTTAATTGATGAGACTTTCAAAAGGATGTCTAAACCATAGGTCACAAGATCGAAAATTTTTGGGTTGCGACACTACAAAAAGTGAGTTTCTTAGTAACATTATTCAACCCTCTTTCTAGTGTTTCTGTTTTCTTCATAGTTTAGTATTAAAGCTCAACCTTTGTCAGGGTTGAGCACCTTACAATGTCAAAGGAAAAGATCCTAAGATGGCAAGAAGTGAAGGATAGTACCTATCAAAAGGTTTTCTCTTAGAAGGCCATTAACCTTCAATGGAGAAGACTACCTATATTGGAAGGGTATAATGGAAATAATCATTAAATCTACCCAATACCAACTCTAGAAGATCATTACTAAAGAAGGTGTTGTTCTAACAAAACCAGAGAACCAACTTTCATAGGATGTGATGGAAAATCATTCTTAAAGATCATAAGACCTTTGACAAGAGCAATGTCAAGAAGAATGTAAGAGGAGTGGGCTTAAGGTGAAGATAGAACGGCTGAGCTTCTATGGAGCTATAGGCTTATTCCATAGTTCATTCTTCTTTTTCTATATTTTCCTTGTAAATATTCTCCTTTATTTTGACCTTGTATTTTGGCTCAAGTAGTATAGGGAATTTTGTCTTTGTATTATTTTTAATTAAGGGTGTAATTAGTAGATTAGGAGAGGTGTAAATAGATAAGTACTGTTAAACTTATTTGGGCTTGGATGGCCTAAATCTTTTTATGACCCACATGTTTGGACATGTAAGTGGTTTGGACTTCCGAACCATGCCAAGCTTGTCATCTAAGCTACAAATTGAGTCACATGGCTTTGATAGAGACATCTCAACAAACTTGCTAAAAGTAATCATTAGTTTAGTAGTTGTAATGATTAGGTTAGATAACTGGAGTTAACTAAAGCTAACCTAGGTTATTCTTAAACTAGGATTAGCTTAGCTTGCTCCATAAGCTTCTAGACAACTAACTAGACTTGTAAACATTTAACTAGAGTTAGTTAGCTTAAGTACAAAATAGCTAGCCATGATTACACTTAACCATGATTAGTCTAGCTTGCACCATAAGCCAACTAAATTCTATATATTGTAGTTTTGACCCAGTTGGTACTAGTTTTTGAGTCATATACATGATTTGGAAGAAATTTGTCTCCAAATTTTCTTTCAAAACTTGTTTCTCTCATTGAAACTTTTTCCTTTTCTCTTATCCTCTCTTGAATATGGTGAGAGTTTGAAGAGACTTATCACTCTTTAAGAGTGTGGCATCTCCAAGGGAGATCCTACCCTTTCCATGTGTGTTAGAGATGGCTTCTAACATCATAGGAAGCCATTGAAAGAGCTTGATAAAGTCTAATATGTTAAAGATCTATCCAAGAAGCTTGAAGGAGGAACTACATCAATTTAGTCTCTCCCTGAGGTTTCCATTAGGATGACTACAATATATTGCAGCTTAACACCAAAGCTAGATGTATCTTAGTTTGCTCATTATCCAAAATCAAATACAACAAGTTATGTAGCTGCAAAACAAAAGGAAGTATGGAAAGTCATCGGGATAACTTAATAGGATATTAAGGATGTCAGACTCAAATGAGCTGCCACTCTTCAATGACAATATGAGTTGTTCTCCATGAAGGAAAATGAAACCATTGGTAAGATGTTTGGAAGCTAGGAACTGAGTTTTGCAAAGCTCAAAATAATCTCAAGATCTTGGATAGTCTTCCTAAGATCTGGGAACCAAAAGCAACAATCATATTAAACGCACATGATTTGAAGATCCTTACCCTTTATAAACTTCTAGGAGCTCTAAGAGTTCATGAGGTTCACCTAAATAATAGAGACCATCTTAAAGAAAATGATTATGTTGCTCTAAGTAGTGATGAATCTTGCAAAAAAAAAAAAGAAGGTAAAGTTATGAAAGTTAAATCTTTTCCTAATAGCTTAGATGAAAGTTTTGAAAACCCAACAGACGATGAGATATCTCTCATGTATAAAAAGTTTAAGAACATGCTCATGAAAAAAGGGAAGATTAAGGAGTTTGCACAAAAAGAATGATAGGTACAAGAAACTTGTTCAAGAAGATAACAAAGAAGTTATTTGTTATGAGTGTAAGAAACCTAGACATATGAAGAAGCGATAGACTAACAAGAAGAAGGCTAAGAAAAGTTTGATGGCCATATGAGAGGATTTGCATAGCAATAATATCAGTAGTTCAAATAATGAGAAAACAACCATCTGCCTAATAGAAGATGTAGACACAAACACAGACATAGAGGATACACAGATAAAGGTAAAATTTAACTTTAACTCTTTTCTTCTGATAATTTTGATGGGGAAGACATGTCTTATGAAACTCTTTTAGCAAACTCTCATATGATTGTAGACACCAAATTTCATCCGGACTACCATTACCAAGGCCAAAAGGCTACTAAGACGACATAAGCAACCCTTGAGGGCCCAATAGAGCATCGAAAGAATCAGAATGCCTCTAGAAAAATCCCAGAAATTCAAAAGCTGACTTTACACGTGGAATGATTGTTTCCAAACTAGAACGGGTCGTTCCAAGCCATAAAATTGGCCTATAACCCTAACTGGGAATGACTCGTTCCAATGGTCCATTTTATGTGTAAGTTTATGGGCCAAAATGATTGTTTCCCTTTCTAGAAAAAGGAGAAAAGCTTCATATTGGAAAGCAGTTTTGTTCTAATAGTATCTCTCACTGCAAACCTAATTTTGATGATTTGACCATTGATCAATATATTGAGAAAATATCATCAAATATTCAGCATAATCTAACAGTTAACGAATTCTCTAAAGGCTCCGCATAGCAGCTAAAAAAGAAGAGTCTTATACTGAACAATGTTTTTGTTCTAATAGTATCTCTTGCTACATACCTAAATTCAACGATCCAACCATTCATGTTAAAGATCAATATATTGAAAGGGTACCATCAAAGAACCATAATGATCAAACGGTTCACAAGTTCTATAGAGGTCTTGCACGATGCTTGAAAAAGATTGATTTTTGTAGATTTAGTCTCACTTCTAAGAAATCCAAAGTATTATGTCCCACATTGGACAACTCTTTTATGTAAATAAGAAACCCTTTGGCCAAGGGAATAGACACCCCTCAAGCTGCATAGCTTCCCCCTTCCCTATGTAAATCTCTAAGTATTAATGAGGCTTTTGTAGAGCGAATAACTGCCAAAACGCGGCCCTGTACCCATTTGGGAAGATTCCCTTATAAAATGCTTGCTTCGGAAGTTCCAAATTTGTTTTCTTTTATTTATTATTTTATTCATTCTTTTGTTTATTATTTTATTTATTATTTTTCTTATATATAATAAATAAATAAATAATCATGTAAATAATAGATATTTTCATCTTGTAAATAATATGTAATATAGATTGTTGTGTATATAATGAAAAAGGTAAATATTTAATTATGTTTATTATGATGTTAAATTCATCATAGTATACTGAGTTAGGACGTTTTAAGGTGTTTAATACTTTTTCCATGCGTAACCGACTCCTGAACCTAATTTTGACTATGAAAACCTTTATTAAATTCACCGAGTTGAAGAGCACGGTAGAGAAGTATATTGAGTGTGCTAACGATTTAGAAAAATATATGTTAAGGAGTTCACTTATACTATTGCCATTTTTCTTTAAAAAATATGGACGTTAACGTAAATAAAAATAAAAAATAAAAAAATCCTTCAACAACCATCAAATAAATTGAGTGAATATAAAATCTGGCTCTCAAAGTGGCAACTGAATTGAAATAGGCACAAAATTGAAATATCAAGCTGTCCATTCGACCAATACCTATTCTCGTACTTCCTTCCCGATTTTTAAGGAAGCCAAACAATTCACACTAAGGTTGTCCCAAAAAGTTTGCCAAACCGGTAAAGTGCCCTTGTGGAGGACCCATCTTCTTTCAACGCATCAGCAGCTGCATCTTTGAGCTTTTCAATTCTTCTTCTAATCTCATTTCCTTCTTCACCCACCATTAGACCTTTAACCACCTCAGCAATTTCCTCTCTCTCCGCTATCCCATTCTCATTGAATTTGGGCCTCAAGCCCACTCTAACGCCCTCGGTTAACAAAACAGCATTCATTCTCTGTTCAGCAAACAAAGGCCACGCTATCATCGGCACTCCCAACACAATGCTCTCAAGCGCCGAATTCCACCCACAGTGGGTCAGAAACCCACCGGTTGAAGCGTGACCAAGGATTTGGGCCTGTGGGGCCCAATTAATAACAACCAAACCACGCCCTTGGGTTCTCTCAAGGAACCCATCTGGTAAAAACCTCAAAGGGTCATCATTAGAAGCAGCAACATAAGCAGCATCTGGCGTGTCACTGGGCGCTCTCAAAACCCACAAGAAATTCTGACCACTCAACTCCAACCCAAAAGCTAACTCATTCACCTGTTCTTCAGAGAGTGTGCCTCCGCTTCCAAACGACACATACAAAACCGAGTTACGCTTCTGCTTCGCCAACCACCTCACGCACTCTGACTCCGCCGGTTCATTACTCGACCCGGTTTGTATAACTGGCCCGACCAAATAAACCCGGTTCGCGTACTCCTGCAAGGCTCGCTCAGAACCTTGTTCTAGTTTGGAGAAGCTGTTAACCAAGAAGCCGTGGGCGAGAGAGAGTCTCTTGCAGCGCTCGAGGATTAACTCATAAGCGAGGCTCGAACGGTTCTGGAAATGCTCGGGGAGGTCTGGGCCTGGAATTGGGGCACAGCCTGGAAGCTGAATGGGTTCTTTGTGGTCTCTGTATTCGCAGGAAACTTGGTGGTGAAGAGTTGGCGAGTGGAGGAAAAGCGAGAGAGTCATGGCTGAGGGAGGGAAGTATACGAAGGATAAGAGGTTGAATTCGTTGGCTATTTCGAGTGACTCGTTGGCGAAGGGGTCGGAAATTAGAGCGGCGAGGGGCGTGGTGGAGAGGAGAGAGTGCAAGGTGTGGCGGAAGGAAGGCATGGAGTGGGAGACAGCGAGCTGGATTTGGACTGGCGAGGGGGCGTGTTGGGGGAGGTCTTGTTTGTTGATGGGAGGGAGGAAGGTGTGGTGGATGTTCGGAGGGAGGGATTGGAGGAGAGTGAGGGTGGCGGGGAGAGGTGCGTCGATGGTGGGGAAGATGCAGGTCACGTGGAAGTGGCGGTGGAGTTCCAGGAGTCTCTTGCAGAACTCCACTATGGAGGCTTGGTGGCTGAATGCAGGGATTGAAACTACTGCTATGTGAGTTGTTTTCGCCATTGATTCTCTGTTGCTACCTTCTGGCCTATGCTTTGACATTTATATAAATTTTATTTTTTGGACCCACTTCTGATCACAGTGAAGTATCCTTTTTCAATCACATATTTTTTCATTTAAAACCTTAGATAGCCAGAGTTTCTGATCTGATCAACAATTTTGTATATTAAAATTTAAGGTTAAGATATTTTTTAATCTTTATAATTTCATCGATTTTATCTTTGATGTTTCAATAGTTTAATATGTACTTTTTAGTCTTATACTTGCATTTTTAATCCTTTTTAATCTTTACTATTAATTTTTTTGTAATATGTTTTCGTGTCAGTAATGTGAATTTATTAAAAAATCACGTGACACTGATATATTTGATTTTGCAAATAATAATGTGTCACATAATAGTTTGAGAAGAAAAAAAATTAATAATAATGTGTCACATAATAGTTTGAGAAGAAAAAAAATTAAGAATCTCGATAATTTTGTTGAGAGACAATATTTATTTGATTGCATGTATGAGTAGTAAAATTGTTGATGCCTATGTAGGTAAATCATTTAATGACATATTACGGTCTAAAAAGTCAAACACATTACTGCTATGTAAATTTAATAAGTTCTCATCGTTCACACAGAAATAACATTATAAAAAAGTAAACGTAAGAACTAAAAAGAATTTTAAAAAAGTAAGTATAAAAATTAAAATATTTATTTTAAATTATTAAAACTAAAAGTAAAATGAAGCTATATTGACTAATAAAATATTTTAATCTAAATTTAATTAGGATACACTTAACGATATAAATAATATTCGATCATAAATGATCATATATAACACGTCTGTTGGAAGTCATGCATAAAATAATTACTGATATGTTGACGTGTATAATTCTTTAAGCAGAACATTTATGTTTCTTATTGATGTAAGGAGGCTAAATCTAGACTAGAGATTTGAGAATCTTGAATTGTAGTCTAAGTTGACAGCTATACATGTAATATACATTATCAATTGGACTTTCCTTTTACATTGATGGGTCACAGATGCATGCACGTGTCTTAGAATGTAATACATCATCCCAAACAATTATTGTTTGATAATGGGGCCTGACGCCAACCGCATACAATACATACAATATTATTTTGAAGCTAAAAAACAAGGTTTGGTCTGAGTTTTGGCTGGTCAAAATTGAAGCCTTGACTGAGTACATGCCTAAAATATGAGATTCCAAAAGATGAATTGCTGAGAATTTGCTTAGTTCTGTTACCACCTGAGTTCTCTGCCTCTGTCCAAGAAACAGTCTCAATAAATGATTAGTTTTTGTCCGCAGCATATATCTTCAATTTTTTTCTTCTCAATTTAGAAACATTTTATATTTTCTCAATGCCAAATCTCAACCTTTATTTAATTATGACAAAGTGGTTTTCTGAAATCATAAGAGCGACAATAAGTTGTAAGAAGTTTTTTCCTTTTTGGGTCCTGATTGACAGCAGCCATTATGCTGTTGGTAAGACATTGGATATGTGAGTTGCCTTCCTGTCTTTGGAAGCTGGATTCTGCACAATTACTAACAAAAATATTGTTGAATTATGTTTTTCGTTGCATATTTTAGGCATGAAAGTTGAGGTCTAAGTCAGATATAATAGTTAGTATTGCTAAAAGCAACGAAGACCAAGAAGAAAAGGAGGGAGATGGGAAAATGAATTAGTGCTAAACTGTTAGGCATCCTTTACATCCTTACTTTGTAAAATCATTATTAATAATCCGTTTTATTGTCTTATAATGTACGGGAAGGTCCATGATAGTGAGTAATTGTAGGAGCCATAAAAAAGTTAAACCACAAAAGCTAGCTTTATTGATGGGTTGGCAATTAAAGGTTTATAACAGGGGCTACTGCATCAGTATATCCTAAATTTCGCTATGTGCTGCTTATGAGTCCATGTCTAAGGTAAATACCGCAGTTGCATGCTTTAGCAATTGGATAGATTGATACTATTTCACCAATGGCCTGTAGCTAGACCCATTTCATGATTTTAATATGGGTCACTAGTCCAAGAACTCTCTTATAGTTGGTTGGTTCAACATCTATATATAATCCGTACCGCCATGCCGAGTTTGAGCTCGATATCACAGCGTAGGATGACCTCGGACATGCGCTGGGAGATCTAGGTCTAGGCGAGATCCGCTATCTAATCAGATCATAACTGATCTCAGGCCCAAGGCCCAACGAAACCCTAATTCACACCAAGGTACGTGCATTACTTATGCGAGACTCATACTCATACAAACCCTAACATTAGCATCGGAGCCTCTTTTATAGGTACCACCCCCATCTTGGAGCATCAAGTGTACCAGCGAAGGAGGCTCACCGACCTTACCCAGCGGATCGAGTCTACCCCAGATCCTTGGTAAGAACATTTGGCGCCCACCGTGGGGCCGATCAAGACAACTCTTATCGGCCACGCTTATGATTTACATCAGAATCCATAGCAGACGCGCAACAAACGACCTAGATCACACGGCTCCCATGGATAACGAAGCCACATTGAGGAGACTGATCGACCAGGTCAAACAGATGCGGCAACAACACGACGCCAATCTGCAAAACATGTGTGCCAAGCACGAAACCGACCTAGCGGCGATGCAGACCGCTAATGAAGCTGACCTAGCGGCACTACGTGCCAGAAATGATCGGATTCGCGCCCGGCTCCCTTGACGCCCCTCTAATCATCAGCCTCAGGCGAGCAACCTCCACGAGGAAGAAGGGCATTCGATCTCCCCACCCTGGACTGCGACTAGGGCACCGACTCTGATGGAATAACACTAAGGCCGAGAAGACCAAGAGGTGACATACTAAAGGAGGCAAGAGGAATGGGATAGTAAGGCCATTTTTGGACCATTAGCTCCTAAGTTTTATAGCATTTATTTCTTTATTCCTATTTTGCCCTTGTCTTTAATTTTCAATTTTACCCTTGTATTATGGGGTGTTCTAGATGATTAGGGTTTTAATTTTGGGCTAGGATTTAACATTAGGAGGTGACGCATTTTTTTGGTGACCTTGGACCTATTTTTGGTGTTAGAAAGGCTTAGGCCCAAGTGGAGGGCAAAGGTTGCATGGTCTTATCATGCACCTAGATATAGCCAATCTAAACCCATAGATTCCATCCTTGGCCACCAAGTTGCATCTAGGGTTCGATCCAGAACGGGCCATTCCAATTTCAGAACGGGCCGTTCTAGACCCCCTTCTGAAGGCTATAAATAGACAGTTTGGGCTCATTTCTCAGGACCTAAAAATTTTGTCCAAGACTCCTTAGAGCTCAAAATTTCTCTCTCTCTCCCTCTTATTGTATTTCTTGAGATTTGAGAGGCATTTGTGTAGTGTGAAAGGTTTCCACAAAGCACCTATAATTTCCATATTGGAAGATCTAACAAAGCTTGTTACGAGGTATTTTATTCAATCTTCTTCTCTCTCTTTTATTCCCTATCTTTGATAAATGTACTATCCGTACCGCCATGCCGAGTTTGAGCTCGATATCACAGCGTAGGATGACCTCGGACATGCGCTGGGAGATCTAGGTCTAGGCGAGATCCGCTATCTAATCAGATCATAACTGATCTCAGGCCCAAGGCCCAACGAAACCCTAATTCACACCAAGGTACGTGCATTACTTATGCGAGACTCATACTCATACAAACCCTAACATTAGCATCGGAGCCTCTTTTATAGGTACCACCCCCATCTTGGAGCATCAAGTGTACCAGCGAAGGAGGCTCACCGACCTTACCCAGCGGATCGAGTCTACCCCAGATCCTTGGTAAGAACATTTGGCGCCCACCGTGGGGCCGATCAAGACAAGCGCGTGTAAAAGCAGTGACAATACCAAAGCTGAACTAGGGAAGTAAAAATAGGACAGGGCCTTGAACTCCTTTGCAAACTCCAAGGCCTGAAACGCAAAAAGATCTACCACCAAAGCAACTAAAGGGTCTTTGGAGAATCGGGATTTGAGGACCTCATGTATTGCTGGCAGAGAATGAGTAACAGTGAGTTGAATCAGGATTGCAGGGTGTACTCCTTGGGGCAATTGTTCTTTGTTAATGGGAGGAAGTAAGATGGTTTGTATGTTTGAAGGAAGAGTTTCAAGGTAGGCTTTGGAGGACTCCGAGGGTGGCCCAAGTGAGGGAACGATGCAGGTTACATGAAAATTTGGGTGATGCTTCTCAAGTCGCTTGCTGAACTCGGTAATTGGGACCAGGTGGGTGAAACCAGGACTTGAAACAATAGTTATGTGAGTTGTTTTTGCCATGGAATTAAACAGAGTATAGAATATAGAGTTTAGACTATTTGTGTTTATGTGCTCACAATTCGTGAAAGTTGTATATGATGATCTCTTTATGATACAAGAGCTCTCTTATATAGCAAATTACTCCACTGTTTAGTGTGTCCAGTTAATTACATGTACGGGCAATAGGAATTCACAAGAGCCAAAACTTGGTTTTGCTTTTCCTATTTTAATGTTTTTTTTTTTTCGTCCTGGAAAGCAGTGACTAATCTTCTTGCTAAGTTGGAGGTACCTTGAAAGGTGGGATAGCTGATCCCAAGATTTAACGCGACTGCATACACAAAATATAATTCGAACCCCTAACCTTTCTTAACTGTGAATCAACCCCTACCGCTGAACCACACGCTTAGAATTCCTATTTTAATGTTATTAATTTACGCATTGCCAAAACTTGGTTTTGCTTTCCCTATTTTAATGTTATTAATTTACCCATTGCTTTCGAAGGGAAGAAAGCGATGATGTAAGATTGTCAGCGTGCATGCACTAAACCGCATATCTATTATCTATTTAGTTTAGTCCCCAAATATTCCCCAGTTACCGTCTTTCTAGCTTGTCTTTTTTCTTTAGCTGGATGTGGTTTACGTTTACCCAAACTCGTTTGGGTTTTAATGGCTGCGCATTTGATTCTTCCTCAGGTACTGGGCCCAATCAATGACTAATAACTTTCCATTAATGTTTTTTTTTATAAGTAAAATAGTAGGTAGGGGACCACACACAACTTAGTTGGAAGAACTTTACTTGTAACAATGTATTTAAATCATTTTCTTAATATTTTTTTCTTTCTCTAAGTATTGGTTTTGTCTTTTATTTTCTTCACTCCATAATTTAAATAAATGAACTAAAAGTCGAAACCAATGAAATAAAATAAATGTTGGAATGTTTAACTATTAGAACATCTTTTAACATTTATATTAGTTTTTGTATAATTGTTATAAATTTAAATATGTTTTTAGTTTCTTAAAGATAAGTGAATTTTGATTTTGATCCTTTTAAAAAAAATTCTGTTTTCATTTGTCTAAAGTTTATAAACATTGATTTTAGTCCTTATAAAATGAGTAAATTTTTATTTTGATCTTTCTAAAATATTCTTTTGATTTTCATTTCTCTATAATCTTAAGTTGTTATTTTTAATCCTTAACGATCATTTTAAGATAAATAAATAATATATATTTTAAGAATTTATAAAAAAAAATTGAATATGAAATACCAATATAATATGGCTAACAATTTTGGTCAACATCTAAGATAATCACTTAATAATTTAATAAAAAAATATATAGTTTAAAATGATCACATGACAAATAGTGACTAAAAATAGTAGTTCCAGATTTAGAAGGATAAGAAATAGATAAAAATTTTTTTACAAAAACTACAATCAAAACATACTAATTTTGTAGGGAATAAAAATATATTGAAGTCATTTTTATATTATTGTAATAAGTTTAGTAAGTTAAATTTTGTTTAAAATGTGTTTTTAGATGTATCAATTTCGGTCAAAATTAGACTTGGTTACTATATTTAAAAACGAAAGTTTTGGTTCTCGTATGTTTTATAAATGGTCAATTTTATCCCTCTTCCTAAGTCCCTAATATTTTGTTTTATAAAGAGACAAAAAATTTAGTCATTATTTGTTAAATCAAAGGATGATCTTAAATATTTTAGGAATACATGTTTTACTATTAAAAAACTCAAATGTTTTTGACAAAGAAATGGTTTTAAAACCATACAAGAAAGACGATAGTCTAAGATGATTAGTTATGAAGACATGTCACTTTGACAAGTCATTCAAACGAAACACTTTGTGTTAGGTCAAAACTCAAAAGACAAAATTTAGATCTCTTTGATTTTGAGTTTTGTTGTTGACAAATATAGAGGTTTTTTTTATTTTTTTTATCAACAATATAAGTTTTTGAAATGACTAAGATGAATCTTCCACTAAGACGTAATTCGTTAGTAAGATGAATCTCGTATAAAATGATAGACTTATTAAGGAAATTGTGTTAATAAATTAGACAAACCCTAAGTCAAAAAAAGAGATATGCATTAAATCTTTTTAATTTATGATCTCTAAACAAGAAACTGACTATGTCTGAATGTTTTCTTAATAGATCAAATTTAAAAATACTTCATCGGTATCAATGTTCTACAAGCAAATCTCTACAAATATGAAAAGTTGTAGTCAAAAGTTATTTTATCACTACAACGTCCTGACACACGCATGGTTTTACCTACTTAGTGCCAAAAGGTGATAAGTAACTTTCTTGATCAAATAAGAAGTGACAATTTGGTGAAAATATTTAATGCAAACATTTATTGCACAAACTTACTCTTATCTCCTCAAGAAGAAAATCGTGAAGATAGAAGACGCAAGCCATTAGAGAGAAGCTCAAGAATTTGTAACAATCATCTTGATTGAAGCCTTATAAAAGGAAATTTTGAAGTTTAGAAAGAAAAGGGATGATAATCTAGAACAAAATATGATTTCTTCACTTTTCTATAATCATCTTTCTACTTAACCTATTGTATGACATCTTGAAAGGAAGATCACACAACTTTGTAAACCTTAGTAACTTTAAGTTATTGGGTTTGAGCTCAAAAAGACTTGAGTGTAAAAGAATACTAGTTGTTTGAGCTTAGAGAGACTTGACTATAAAAGAATACTTGGTGTAGGAGCCTAGAGAGGCTTTGTGTAAAAAATTAATTCTTGGGTAGATTGCTTGAAGAGGAAATTCAAAGAATACTTAAGGTTGAACCAAAAGTGACTTAGTAAATAATACTTATATCTTTGATAAGATAGTGAAACTTTATCTGGTTGAATCAAGAACTGGACATAGTCTCGGTGGTATAGATGAACCGATATAAATCTCTGAGTTCATTCTTTGCTTTGCCTGCCCTCTTATTTTTGTTACGTTACTACTTTATTGCTCTACAAAAAGTGAGTTTTTTTACTAACATTATTCAACCCTCTTTCTAGTGTTTCTCTTTTCTTAATAGTTTAGTATTAGAGCTCAACCTTTGTCAAGGTTGAGCACCTTACAATGTCAAAGGAAAAGATCCTAAGATGGAAAGCAGTGAAGGATAGTACCTATCAAAAGGTGTTCTCTTACAAGGCCCTTAACCTTCAATGGAGAAGACTACCTATATTGGAAGGGTATAATCGAAATAATCATTACTGAAGAAGGTGTTGCTCTAACAAAACCAGAGAACCAACTTACATAGGATGTGATGGAAAACCATTCTTGAAGATCATAAGACCTTTAACAAGAGAAATGTCAAGAAGAATGTAAGAGGAGTGGGCTTAAGGTGAAGATAGAACGCCTGAGCTTCTATGGAGTTATAGGCTTATTCCCTAGTTCATTCTTCTTTTTCTGTATTTTCCTTGTAAATATTCTTCTTTATTTTGACCTTGTATTTTGGGTCAAGTAGTATAGGTAATTTTGTCTTTGTATTATTTTTACTTAAGGGTGTAATTAGTAGATTATGAGAGGTGTAACTAGCTAAGTCCTGTTAGACATATTTGGGCTTGGATGGCCTAAATCTTTTTATGACCCACATGTTTGGACATGCAAGTGGTTTGGACTTCCAAACCATGCCAAGCTTGTCATCTAAGCTACAAATTAAGTCACATGGCTTTGATAGTGACATTTCAACAAACTTGCTAAAAGTAATCATTAGTTTAATAGTTGTAATGATTAGGTTAGATAGTTGGAGTTAACTAAAGCTAACCTAGGTTATTCTTAAACTAGGATTAGCTTAGCTTGCTCCATAAGCTTCTAGACAACTAACTAGAGTTGTAAACATTTAACTAGAGTTAGTTAGCTTAAGTACAAAATAGCTAACCATGATTACACTTAACCATGATTTGTCTAGCTTGCACCATAAGCCAACTAAATTCTTTATATTTTTGTTTTGACCCACTAGGTACTAGTTTTTGAGTCATATACATGATTTGGAAGAAATTTGTCTCCAAATTTTCTATCAAAACTTGTTTCTCTCATTGAAGCTTCTTCCTTTTCTCTTATCCTCTCTTGAATATGGTGAGAATTTGAAGAGACTTATCACTCTTTAAGAGTGTGGCATCTCCAAGGGAGATCTTACCTTTTCCATGTGTGTTAGAGATGACTTCTAACATCATAGGAAGCCATTGAAAGAGATTGAAAAAGTTTAAGATGTTAAAGATCTATCCAAGAAGCTTGAAGGAGGAACTACATCAATTTAGTCTTTCCTTGAGGTTTCCATTAGGATGACTACAACATATTGCAGCTTAACACCAAAGCTAGATGTACTTTGGTTTACTCATTATCCAAAATCAAATACAACAAGTTATGTAGCTGCAAAACAAAAGGAAGTATGGGAAGTCATCGGGATAAGTTAATAGGATATTAAGGATGTCAGACTCAAATGAGCTACCACTCTTCAGTGACACTATGAGTTGTTCTCCATGAAGGAAAATGAAACCGTTGGTAAGATGTTTGGAAGATTCCAAATAATTCTTGATGGGCTAAAATCCCTAGGAACTGAGTTTTGCAAAGCTCAAAATAATCTCAAGATCTTGGATAGTCTTCCTAAGATCTGGGAACCAAAAGCAACAATCATATTAAATGCACATGATTTGAAGATCCTTACTCTTTATAAGCTTCTAGGAGCTCTAAGAGTTCATGAGGTTCACCTAAATAATAGAGACCATCTTAAAGAAAATGATTATGTTGCTCTAAGTAGTGATGAATCTAGCAAAAAAAAAAAAAAAAAGAAAAAAAAGGTAAAGTTATGAAAGTTAAACCTTTGCCTAATAGCTTAGATGAAAGTTTTGAAAACCCAACAGACGGTGAGATATCTCTCATGTATAAAAAGTTTAAGAACATGCTCAAGAAAAAGGGAAGATTAAGGAGTTTGCACAAAAAGAATGATAGGTACAAGAAACTTGTTCAAGAAGATAACAAAGAAGTTATTTGTTATGAGTGTAGGAAACCTAGACATATGAAGAAGCGATAGACTAACAAGAAGAAGGCTAAGAAAAGTT